GCCCACACCCCAGCCTGACAAATACCCAAACATACACAATCGCACCATTCCACCCTCATCCTCACACCCACTCAATCAAAGACATGCAAGGACGCCACATTCCACTCATACCCCCAATACACACTCTATACCCCCCAGGTCCAGGACATGCACCCACCCCCTATTGGAGGCAGCACACACTGAACCCAAGAGGTAGTCCCAATCATTCTGAGGTGGAGAGGAGCAGATAGCCAAGGCCCGACTTCTACCAGCAATGCGGACCAAGCTCTGGCACCGGTCATACAGGGACCTAACAGCCCGTATCAATGGGCCTGGTACCCCATACTCTCAGAGTACCCCCCACAGGAGTCCCCAAGGGACACGGTCGAATGCCTTCTCCAAGTCCACAAAACACATGTAGACTGGTTGGGCGAACTCCCATGCACCCTCCAGGACCCTGATGAGGGTGTAGAGCTGGTCCAGTGTTCCACGACCAGGACGAAAACTACACTGCTCTTCGTGAATCAGAGATTCGACTATCTGATGGGCCCTCTTCTACAGGACACCTTACCAGGGAGGCTCAGAAGTGTGATCCCCCTATAGTTGGAACACACTCTGCGGTCCCCCTTTTTAAATAGGGGGACCACCACCCCGGTATGTCAATCCAGGGGAACTGCCCCCAATGTCCACGCAATATTGTAGAGTCGTTTTAAAACATTATCACAGAAAACTAAGAATCCTCGTGTACTGTTATGAACGATTGACTTTGTCCTGAAAGTCCCACAGCCTGTTTGTTTGTGTGTGTGTCTTCTGAACTTTTTCACTGAGAAGGTTGCTTCCACAAGAGCTCTCATTTATCCACCCATTTTTGACTCCTCTGTCTCTGTTCTATGCCAAGCAGTGTTTAACGGATTAGAGCCGATGACTCTGCCTCTGTTAGAGGATGTGGTAGCCCTTTTTTAAACAAGTCTTTTCTACCTTTGGGCAGATGGTTCTGACTATTATAAATAGTAGACTGTCCTCTGGTGTCGTCCCTGTCAGCTTTAAACATGCATGTACATGTACAACCTTTGCTGAAGAAGTCTGGCCTTGAGAACACTGATTTAGCAAATTTCAGGCCCATCTCTAAGCTCCCATTTCTCTCAATAATCTTAGGGAAACTTCTCTATACATAAGTAAAATCTTTTTTATGAATAATATTATGGAGGTTTTTCAGTCTTGTTTTAAAAAAACTACCCTTTTAAAAGTTTTTAATGACATTTTAATGGCAAATGATGATGGCAATTATGTTTCTCTTGTCCTTCTCGACTTGACCGCTGCCTTTGATACATTGAGATATAACCAGGGATTCAAATATGCACATGTATAAATTTATTATCAATAATAGTATAATTAAAGGTGAGCCATGCTGTTTGTATCAAACAAGTAGCCCTTCGTGTTACTCAGTACCCCCAAAGTAGCTCTCTGTCTCAAAAAGATTGGTTACCCCTGCAGTAACGTGTGTTGGACTCTCACAATTAAGGATTATTAAAATAAAGAAGAAAAAAAAGCAAATTCTGCTGGACCAAAGTGGGCAGTTCATCTGAACCTCGTAAATACACCCCTGGCTACGTGAATGGAGCATGTGTAGTTGTTCATGCTCCTGAGAGGAGAATGGTGGAGGGTAGAAAGCCATTACCTCATGGAGTTAAAAGCAGCATTAGCTTTTAATAAAACCTTAGAATCCTCACCAAGAAACCACATGCAGGACAGGTTCATTCTAAGACCGGACATGGGGCGGCTGTGGCAGAGTGGTTAGGGGAGTCATCCTGAAACCAGAAGGTCGCTGGTTCTATCCCCCGTCCAGCTGTCTCAGTTGTTGTTGTGTCCTTGGGCCCCTAATGCCTCTGATGTGTGTCCCATCAGTGTATGAATGTGATTGGCACTGATTAGTCTCCAAAGTTGATTGTATATGTTAGCTTTGTAGGAGATCTTATCGAGTGCTGTGTGAATGGGTAAATGAGGACACAGATTGTAGTGTGAAGCGCTTTGAGTGTCCTGGTTGGGTAGAAAAGCGCTATACAAGTACAGTCCATTTACCATTTACATGTTTGGCAAAAACCAGGGCGACCAACAAAGCTACCTTAAATGAGAGCACTTTGAGTTCAGCCTGCTCCAATGGTTCAAAAGGTGCATGTGTTAAAGAATCGAGCCCCGTTGAGTCCCATGAAGGGTTTGCTCCTATACACTGGCCAGAGCAAGCATGTGCCCTTCATGAACTGGCAAACCAGTGGATGTTGCCAACACTGCTAGCCAGTGTTTTCCTATCCAGCGGGGAGCTTTTAGAATGAGTGAATGTTACCCCTTTCACATCCTGGCAAGGGTAGGAACAATCAGTTCTAGTGGTAGAAAAGCATACAGTAGAACCAACGGACACTCGTGTGCAAGGGCATTCAGTCCCAGAGGTGCACCCTACTCAGTCAAGGAGAAAAACCTTGGATATTGAGCATTCTCTCACCAGATGCAAAGAGGTCCACCTCCACTCGACCTCCCATTTCCCATTTTTTGGGTTATGACCTCATGGTGGCATTCCCACTCCTTATGGCAGGGATTGTCCCTTGACAGCAAGTCTGGGCCCTTTTTCATCACCCCTGGCACGTGAGTGGCTCTCAAACAGCAAGCATGAGCTGGTCAAGACTATCAGTCTGTGTGCCAGAGTGTGTAAATGACGTGAGCACAGGGCCCCCTGCCTGCTGATGTAAGCAACCACCATTGTGTTGTCTGTTCTGACCAAAACATGTTGCCCTCTGGTAAAGGGTAGGAAATGTTATTGAGCCAGTGTCACACCAAGAGCTCCAGATGGTTTATGTGAGCTGTCCGTTTTTGTGAGGCCAACACGCCGTTTACCATCATGACTTCGTGTGTGGCTCCAGCCACTCAACAAGTCATCTGTGGTAATAACCTCCCAAAACCCTATGGCACAGCCATAGTTTCGCATGTATGCCTCTGCAAAAAAGTGCCGGACAAGCACAGAAGGCTTTCACTCATTCGGCTGAGAGGCGCATTCTGAACTCATTTGAGTTCAGGGACAGCCCGATGAAGGTAATTGTTTGTACTGGGGTTAAGATGTCCTTCTCTCCCAGTTTATTGTGAAACCTAGAGCTGTCAGAACTGATATAAGCATCACAGCGTGGGTCATGAGTTCCCCTGGAGACTGAGCTGCAATCAGCCATTCATCTATATAAGTCACACACTCAGAGGTGCGACTGCAGCCTCAGTGCATTTTACTAACAACATACAGGGGCTTAGTGGGAGGTCAAAGGTAAAAACAAGATACTCATCCATCTTTCCCTGATATGCAAATCTGAGGTACTTTCTGTGAGAAGGGTAAATAGGCATGTGAAAGTATCAGCACGTCATCATCCTTTTAAATTTATGGAGATAAAGCAGTCTCCTTGATGAACTAACATTATTAGAGCTGCATATGTCATCCTGAACCTACTGTATTGTATTGTTTTCTTGTTTGCGTATATTTTAGCAAATTAGAAACTTTGGGATTTTTGTTCTCAATACATGTGACAAGTTTCATTGATAAATGGTTTTATTATCTACTTAAAAGTTCAACAGCTAAACTGAGTTTGTATGCTTTTTCTTGAAGAACTTAATATCAACTTAAAAAGGTATATTTTATATGGTTTTAGTTTTAAGTTCTTTGAGGCAAAAGGATAACTTGTAACCCCCCCCCCCCATTAGTATGCGAAGACATTTTAAACTTAGAAACGCCCCTTTTCTTTGTCTGAGTTCAGAAAGACAAGCACCTGAGCGTTCATTGGTTACCAGTAATATTAGGTCACCACCTCTGTGTGACACAGGGTCCTGTGATTGGGTTAACCTTCCAAAATCTTTAAATTCCAGCAAACACGTCTTCTCCCACTCTTCTCTTGTGCTTTGGTTTGTGATCTGGTAGTACGACAACAAGGTTGTTGCTCTGTCAACAATCAAGCTAGCTCAATAATTGCCATACTAGTTGTCTCAGAGAGAAGAGGTGTTAGACTGAAGATCGCCTACATGATGTCAGGCTTTTCTACTGGGAGGAAGTCCCTCCTCCTAGAGCTGATGTCACTTTTTCTGACTGTCAAGACTATCGTAAAAGGGCTTCTGGGGGACAGGTTGGGGGCATTTTCCATAGTGAGAAACCAAAACAAATGTTGAAAGAGAACAGTTCTAATAAAGTTTAAAAAAATATAATAAATTAGAAAGGCTTTTAGCCTGAACGATCATATTTGTAACAACAAAAAATTACAGAAAAAAAATGTGTGGCTAATTTTCCCCCCATGAAACCTTTTGATGGTTAAAAAAATGACTGAACAAAGTAAACCTACCCTTCTGTAGTGGGGAGCTGAACAATTTTAGTAATGGCTTTGCAGGGAAAATGTCCTGTGGTCAGAAAAAGTACAATTATTAGAAAATGAGTTTTTAATCAGTGACATTAGATGTGGATAGCTTTTCCTTTTTACCATAAGGAATGTCTGATTTTTCCTCCTCCTCCTCCTCCTCCTCCGTCTCATCCTGTCCCCCCACCCTCCAGCGACAGTAGCTTCCATCGCTGTGAGAGCTCAGGATGTAGCTTCCATCTTCAGTCCAACACACACTCTCCAGCTGCTTTGGTAACAACAGAAAACACAGAAAATCAACATACAGAGTCGAAAGTTGGGTGGAAGAAAGTGTGGACAGGACTCAGTCTGACAAGTACCTGTGTAGCAGGAATGTGCTGGATGGCACACTGCTTCTCTAAGTCCCAGATGACCATGAGACCCCGACCATACCCTATAACAACCTGACTGGGGTTGGTAGGGTTCTCATGGAGGGCCTCTACGTGTTCCAAATTCCTGCGACCAATGTAGTCATCAGGTACACTGGAGTTTGAAAAAAGAAATAAGGAAACCATCTAAATATTATCTTTTTGAATAAAATAGTCTTTTAAAGAAGAAATCAGTCTAACAAATAAAACATTTGTATGTTTTAAATTATTTTGTTCTGTGCAAAAGACAGACATTTGCTGCTTGGACTGGAAAGTGTGGAAAGCTGGTTTAAATGAGGCCAAAGATCCAGAAGGCCAAACTATAGGAGATGTCCATCTGAGGGGCAGATAATATTATTTAGATGGTTTCAGCTCATGTAATCACTTATTCTTCATATTTGATCATTCGTTAAATAACATTTATCCCAGAGCAGCTGTGTCACCGTATGGTCCTAAATATAAACAAGTTTAGAAAATCGAGAACCTTGTTGATTTGATAAAATTGTGAATGAAATTTGTGGATCTTTATGATAAATAACATTTAAAACTCATTCACCTAGAGAACATGGCAAGTTTTTTATTTTTATTTCTTTATTTTGACGGGGGTGATGTTAAACAGAGACTTATCTTTGCTTTAATATTTACCAAATGTTCCTCTGTTAGAGTTGATATGGTTTAGAAGAACTCAAACAGTGAATCTCACAGGAAGACTCGCAGCCTGAGCGGCGGACTCCCATTACAGCGATCTCTCAGGAAAAGAGAGTTTAGTCACTCGCACAAAGTTGGACAGATCTGATCGATGACAATGCTCTGAACATATATTAAACAAACATATATATAAAGTTAGGTTTTAGAGACCAAAGTCTCTGGTAGCTCAGGAGCAAAGTGCAGGAGGAGATGTCAGGACTGACCGCTACAGCCGCTGCTTCAACCTGCAGTTTGTCTCTGTTGAAAACGCCTCTCAGTGAAAGTCCCGCCCTGCTCTGCTCTGATTGGATAAAATGCCCTGGAGGTCATCTGATTTGTTGAAAGCAGTGTCTGTTTAATTCTGATATATCATGGTCCTGCTGCCCTACTCGCACTGAGCAACGATCCAGTCACACCAGTGTAGCTGGATTTTTTTTTTTTTAAGAAATCAGGTCACATTCTGGAACCCTGCTACCTGTTTTCACAATCTCAGGTATAATCTTAGGTATGACATTCCATCTGGTGCGCTGCTTCCTTTTTGTTGCGCATGCCCACCTGCACACTGCTTATGTGCAGCCCTGTCTGAACCCACCTCTGATAGGGTGCTCTGGAACAGCATCTTATTTTTGGAATGAAAATTGGAAGTGTTGTGTTTAAACTAAAGTATCAATCAAGTAACTTTAGCATTGATACAATTAGGGCTGCATCAATTAGTTGAAATAATCGATGACGTCGATTATGTAAATTTGTCGACGCAGATTTTTTATTATCGATTCTCTGTATTACATAACACCACGTGAATGTTCATGCAATTCCATTTCGGTACCTAAATGCATCATTGTGACCGTATTGGCATAAGAGTGGTGAGTTTTCCATGCTTGTCCTGAACGCAGCATCACAAGAGCGTAATGACGTCAGCAGCTGCTGCTTCAGTTCAGTCTGAAGCTTGAAAACAAGCCTCGCAGCTCCTGGAGTAAAAGTCACTGGACAGACCACCTCTGAATTATCTGGTGGATTAATTATCT